AAATTACTTGTTTTCCTCTACCACTGTGTCATTTTGCAAAACGTGTCCCCTTTTTCCTCCAGATCATCATCTCCTCTTATTACTACCATTATTTTTTCTGATATTAGTAGTATTACTGTTATTATTTCTATATCATTATAACTACTGTTACTACTGTTATCACTAATATCATTAATATCAATATTAATAAGTATCATCATAATCTCATCATTACCCTCATTAACAAGTTAGTCATTGTTATTTGCCGTCATCATTATTATAAGTAGAAGAATAGACATTGCAGCTATTTTCACTGTTTTCATTAGCACAATCGCCATCGTCACTACGACCATCAGAATTTTTCCATGGATCTATTCATTTACCCACCTATACGCCTGTCAATCTGCCCATTCATCCGTTCACAGATATACTCATCCAATTTGTAATCTCCACATCCATTCATCAATTCCATTTCCACTAGCTCCGGAGTATAACTCCAACTGGTTCATTTTGAAAAGTTCTTTTCTGAAGTGTCATCAGATGCTAACACAGACAGCAGCGATAAAAGCAACAATAGCAAGAACAACAAAAACAGCAACCAGTTATGGTTCATAAGTCTATTAATAATATACTACCTCTCTAAAAAAGCTAAGATATATCCATCCATATATAATGATTGTCGATTACCTTCATACTTTTTCAACAAAAATAGCGTTCAAAAAAAAAAAAAAAAAAGATATAGGACAGATGGAGAAGACAAATAAACAAGTGTAGAAACAAATAAACAAACAAGGTAAAAAGTTCTGATCATTGATAAAAGCAATTAAAAGTTTAATTAAACAGTAGTAAAAAGATAAAACTGTCAGAAAAAAAAGGAAGTCACTTTAATTGCCTTTCGAACAATTAACAGTTAATGATTAAACTTTAAAACGATTAAATCTTTCAGCGTTGAAAATTGTCAGTGGCAAAATTGAGTTTTGAATCATTAAAAAAAAAAAGTGGAAGTTCTGAATAACTGAGCAATAGCAATTTTAAAATTTCCAATTTGATTTTTTTTTCATTTTTTTTTTTTTGTGTGTGTGTGTGTTCAATTTCACTTCAATAAATAAATTAGCGGAAAAAGTTCATTGAAAGATTTATAGTAACTTTAAATCAATTAAACAAAAAAATAAATGTAAATAAAAGTCCGGGAAGCAAAACGAGAACATTGTTAGAAAGAAAAGAAACTGTTACTGTTGAGGATTTTTTTCTTCTTTATTTGTTTATTTTTTACCTTTTTCAGACCAAAGGGCGCTATAATAAACAATTGGGTGCAAATTTATCATTTCCTTTTTCTTTTAATATACTTCTAAAGAAGAAAAAAAAAAAAACAAAAACAAATGGAGTATTCAGCAAAACTTTCATCTTTTTTTTACAATCTTCAAAATCACAAAACTTTCACTGCTGCTTATCATTTTTTTTTCTTGCTGTTAGTATTGCTTTCTGCTTATAAAAGTAGCACAATAAACGACCGATAAAATTCTGTCAAACCATTTACCGTTCCCGTTTTTTGCTGCTTCATA